CACATGCCACCAGGCTGTGCCGCGCACAGACCCCTGCCCTGCAAGCCCTTCCCCATCCAACTGGTCCCACCAAGGAAGCACGACCTGGTCCCTGTGCCGGCTCTGCCCCAGGAGGGTCCTGACCCCCTTTTTGAGCTGAATGACCCCAAACCGAGGTGACCCCAGCCCCTCAGTGGTGGGGCGTGAAGGGATGCTGCTCCCGGGTTTCACAGGGCGATGGGGCGGTGCTCGGGGGTCCCCAAATGGGGGGAGGGATGGAGGGCAGGATGGATGGAGGTGTACAGGGCTGGAGGGGGGGAGGGACGGATGGACGGACAGACAGCCCAGCAGGCGTTAGCCAGTCCCCACCCAGGCACTGCAGGACACCCCCTCGTCCCCACTCCCCTTGGCCTGGCCCTCACCGCTGTCATCCTCGCGCCCGGTGAGGAAGGCCTCCTGGAACAGCTCCCGCTTCAGCTCATGGACAAAGATGGCTCCGGACTCGGAGGAGACGCGGTGGTCGGGGAGGACACGGTGCTCGGGGAGGGTGGCTCGGGACCCCCCCAGGGCCACGGCTGCAGCCAGGCACGGGCTGGAGCCGGGGCTGGGGAACACGGCTCCTCCCTGCCTCGGTTTCCCCATTCCCCAGAGACCCCAGATGACCCAGAGGTGCCCACGGACCCCCGGGGACACCCAGCTCGGGCAGGAACGCGTCCCTGCGGTGCCAGGCATCCCGGGACAACGGGGTGGGCTGTCTTGAGGAGAGGACAGGGATGGGGACGGGGATGGGGACAGGGACAGGGATGGGGACAGCGATGGGGACAGGCTGCCATGGGTCAAGGGGCACTGCAGGGGGGATGCAGGGATACTCAGCCCCATGCTGAGCACTGTACGGCATCCCGGAGGGCTAGGGATGGTTGAGGACGGCTGAGCACACTCACAGCCCCCCCCAAACCACATCATGGCTCCCCCAAAACATGTCACCCCTGTCACAGGGGCTGCAGCTGGAGCACGGCCCCGGGGACGCGTCCCCGGTGCGGCCAGGGGGCCCCCGCCCGGCCGGG